TGCTCTTTACGGACATTTTTTGTCTCGGCAATCGCAGGCAAACACTTCTACTAGGCCAAGCGTGTCTTTCGTCTTTTCCCCAGAGAGAGGGAGACCATCAGTCAACCCAGGCTGCAGCCAACAGTAGCTCCTGGGTTCAATAGCTAGTGACTGCCGAACGACTCACTACACTAATCCTGTTGCCCTGCCCTTGCCCTGCCCTGGCCCCCTTCTGCGCCGCATCCTGCAGCGGTGGCCAGCGCCGGGGCATGCGAGCTTCGAAGTCCAAGGCGCGTGATCTTGCTTTGCACACCACGTATAGGCAGCACACACGCAACCCGCGCACTCACGCTCACGCACGCTGAACGGACGGAACGGGCTGGAAGCACGTAGACGCAGCGGACGGGACGGTGAGTATTTTATTTCGGGATGTGCTGAGTCTCGTGCTTTTTCTGGTTGGGTGACTTTTGCTTTAGCGTTGGCTGGGTTGTGGACTTGCTTGGTCGGGACGCCGGCTTGAGCCCAGCGAGCGGCCTGTGGCTGCTGCTGCTGCATCCATGTTGGCTGTTTGCTGGCCATTGGGTGTGGCATGACACCCTCTCTCATTGATCCCACCACCAGTCCGCTACATCCTAAAGCTCCCCCATGCCGGATCGTGCCGTTGGGCTGGGTTGAACGACCGGTCACGTTTCTGCGGTTGGACGAGCCTTGGAGGTGAGGATGGGTGACTAATCCGGGGGGAAGGGTGATGTTGCCAATATCCCACTCATTGCTTGCCTTGACGACGCTAGCTTCTTGGGCTCGAGCTTTGCTCTCGATCATGGCATTTTTGCTGTAGAGTGTCACGGAGGTGCAATAGTATAGAGTGCAGGCCGCCTCCTTGCCCTTGCCTTGCTGTAAAACTGAGCAGAACGTAAAAGCGGATCTACTGCAATGCACCGTCCGGAGATCTGTTATGAGATCTCATTGACGTCCTTGATTCTAGGCGCGATGGCTCGTCCGATGCCAATCTATCGCACTCTATAGCCAAGCGTGTTCAAGTACACGTATAATACTATGAATGCATTCTTATACTTGTATCTTTAAGAGTGAATGATGAATCCCTGCCTTGCTCGGAGCGGTCCGCTAAAAGTGTCCCGCGTAGCCCAGAGACAAACGCTCAACGAGCGGTCGATCTAGAAGAATAGCAACCGTGAGGTGAGCGAAGCAAGTGATGTCATGTTCCCAAGGGCAAACGAACCCACAGACGGAGAAGAAGGTACAAGGCTACGATAAGCTTTTTCGAAACCTAGTTTGATGCCACCGACTTACTTGTGTCGCTCGGGTTGGCGGTACCATGGACGCAGTGTGTCGTCTGGGTGCCTGTTGAGTGCTCCGTTTTGATGCTGTGGTTCCGCTGTTCTGCATATGCCCTTTCTTCGGATGGAAAATCCAGTGAGCCTGCTGTTGCGATGTGTGTAGTTATTCTGGTTTGTCGGGTTTGTACGTGTGGTTTTGATGTGGCTTTGACTCGGAAGTTTTCTGGCATGTCTGTGGTGACGGCGCGAGTCGTCGTCGCCCGCCGCTGTCACCTCTCCCCACCCCTTCTTGGAGACGGCCCAGGGATGCGGGATTTGTCTTGGAATATGGAAGAGGGTAGGGTGCGGATGTGAGGAAAGTTTGAGGAAGCTGTGGGCAAGTCAGCGTCGGGGGGTTTTATATGATGATTGTGGTTGGGTGAGGGTGAGAAGGGTTTTGGTAGGGGACTTTGAAGTGCACGGAGGTTTGGGCTATACGACGCGTGTGGGTTTGATTGAGTGGTGATGAGAATGGGAAGGAAGAGGTGTTTGATGGGTTTGCATGTGAGAGGTGTTGAGAAGGTGTTTTGAGGTTTCGGGGTATTGTAGGATTGCGATATTGTGATGTCGGGATGTGGTCGGGCTGGGAGGTCTGTTTTGTTGAATTTGCAACATCTGTATTGGTAACGATCTTTAGGCTTGATCTTTGCTTTCCAAGTATCATCCGTAGAAAGCAAGAGATCCTAATAGCTGACCGTCTGCTCCTGCATTTCTAGATATGGGCCATCGTAGCGAATATATATCGAGGCCTTAAGTCAGGAATTACCTATCCAGTAAGCCAGTCAACGGCGGGAATGAGTCCAACCTGCCAAGAGTCCTTCTTGATTGCCGCCTTGTTGATGGTGCTCAAGTCGGCATCTGCTCGGTTTCTTAGTCATGCCAATCTCAAAACCTGTCTGCCTTTATCTCTTAAGCTGGGAACTGTGGGCTCTGCTTAACGGTCCCCGTTCGTGCTTGTTCCGTATTCGTGAGGCTGGTGTGACGAATACAGGGCGGGAGGTGAACGGGCGTTACGGACGTGGTGTGAAGACTATCTGTACGGATATGGGATGGGATATAAACGAGCGTTCAGGACGTGGTGTATATATTATCTTTATAGATATAGGGAGGGAGGTGAGGGAGCGTTTGGAACGTGGTGTAAAGATTGTCTTTATAGGTTTAGATAGGGACGTGAGTAGTTATTACTAGTAAATAGATATCTAGGTGAACGAACGATATTAAGAAACACAAAGGTCTTCAATCTATTGTAAGAAGATGTTAAATAGTAGATTGTCTTAGATAATCTTAGGTTCTTCGTTAGGCTCCTGTTTAATACAGAGGCCCTCAGTTCCTGGGTATAAATCCTCTTTGATTGTCAAGAATAGGATCTTCCCCTAAAAGACGGTATCGTCGCCAGGCCACCGGGTCCTCCGCCATACTTAACATAACGTACTGGCCTTCCTTCTCCTACTCAAACTCCCTTTCTCTCCGTACTCACAATGAAAGTATCCGTCCGTATAATCTTCCTATCAAAGTCATCCTGGCTCAGTATCATCTCCTGACTGCTGCAACTTCTCGCCCCAGCGATCTTTGATTCCGTCTCATCCAGACTGTCTTCATCAACCCGTCTCTCTACTCTTGTGCTGGTCCCCCATGTGCGCGGTTGCGCCCCTGTCTCGGACTTTGCCCTTCCGCTGGGACCCATTTCGTAGTTCTCGTGGCTATGTCTGCCTCCGCTGGGACCGGTTCCGAGTATCCGCTTGCCAAAGATGCGCTCGCCAAGCGGTTGGAGTATGGGTATGCAGGCGGCTATGATCATTGTGCCGCCTTCGACTCTGTGTGGTTTGGAATAGATTAGCGTTGCGTACACTTTGAACAACTCGTTTCTTACTCACATTGTCCAAATTACTAAATCCGCCGTATCATCTAGAGGTAATCGTCAGCCGAGAGATCCTGGGTGGCAGTGAAAGCGAGTCCATGACATACATGTGAAGTCGCTGCTTGCAAGACTTGGGACGCGGGTGCATTTGTAGACCGCGACCACAGACGAGCTAACCAATGTCAGCATATTCTTGTCGTGATGGCTACCGACTGTCTCCTTACATAGACCCAATGCCCAGCGCAACACTCAAAGCTGCCTTTTTCTTCATGTTCATCTGTAGTCTCGCAAGCACCAATGCTGGATAGACAGCGAGGTACAAGTCAACAAAGGCGCCAAAAGCTATCTCACACGTCAGCAGGCCGTTGCATTAATTTGGTCTCATTATCAAGGTAAGCTTAGCCTCGTACCTCCCGTGTAAATAGCAAACGAGACCAATATCCATTTATCCAGGCAGTGACCAGACACGGAAAAGTCCCATTGCGATTGCGTTGGCTGGCAATGTGCGAAAAGGAGAATCATGTTGGCCGTCAAGTTGAGCAGGCAGAAGAGGGACAGGGCCCAGAGGAACGTCTTGTGCCATGGACTCGGGTTCAAGATTCGCGTCAGGAGAGCGACAACGGCGAGCTTGGGTAGGCCAAACGACATGACGCCGGCTGGGAAACCAGCGACTGTCCAAAAGATGGCCCCGGACTTTTGTTGGGTGGTCAAGAGCTCGAAGTGTAGGCCCATGCCATGTGATACAGCAACTACGGCGGTCGCGACGCTCACCCAGCTGCAGATCTATATGAGGTTGGTGAACCTTTCCAGATAGCCAATGTTGGAGTATTTGATTTGGGACAACTCACTACTGACGCCACGATGAGGTAGTCATCTGAATGGACCTTCTTGAGTATCACGCCCCGTACATAGAGTCTTGCTGCAGTGAAGAGGGTGCTGAGAGCTGTGACTGAGATGATGATCCCCAGAGATGAAGGTCCCTTATTTTCATTGTCGTTTGATGTTGATATTGACATTGCTCTTGTGGAAAGGCGGCAACTGAGCATAGATGGGATCGAAGCAAGTCAATTCTAGGAAGTAGGGATGAGAAAAGGGGAATACAGATACAATCTGTGATAAAGAGTGCGCATCCTTCATTGCATACGCCGGCATGGCTGCTGCTCTGGGACCGAAGTACAGGAATACTCGCTTCCTCGCGAACATATTACCAGCCGGAAATCACAAATCCTTCACTCTCTAATGCTCCCGCCTGTTCGAGCCAGATCTTTCGGGGATTCCAGCCGAAGATATGATGAATCGGACCATCGATGGTACCCGGTCCACAAAATCGAGATGCTGCGCAAGCAGGATGAACCAATATCTGTTGGACCAACAAGATCCTCCTGGTTTCGAACAAGCCCAGGCTCATGAAGCGAATGAGCTCTCCTAGGTGGGGCTGGGGCGATTCCGGGATGCTTCACCCCAAAAAGGACTGTTGGACATGGTTCTGTTGCAATGATGCAGGACCAACAGGTCTGTTGGTCCAGAGTTGCAGCAGAACCTTGCATGCGAGCGTGTAGAATAGATGAGAGCTTCCGTGTTTGAACCTTGGCGATCATGGGAAAAAATTCATCGGACATGGGTTCTTGTGAAGGGTTTACATGAAGAGCATATGGCTATATGCGAAGAAAAGCATACAAATATGCTCGGCGATGTCCCGCACCACTGTCAAATACCCTATGCCATCAAATCCGACGTACTTGGGACCAGCATTGAAAACACAGTATCTTTCACATACCTTACTGAGCCTCACGACCGTTCATCGTTCCTACTATTGATCATCCGCCATGGGCTCGGTCCCGGACAATCTTTCTCATGGCGTCTCAGTCGACATGGTAACTCAGCCCAGCAACCCAAAAGATGTAGCAACGTTGTTGAATAGCATCAACACGTTGGGCGCCTCCTCACTCGACAATGAGCAGAATCGCCTTAATCTTCTGAAGCAAGCTCGCCTGCTGGTCCAGGCTCTAGAGACACCCAGAGAGACTATGATCAAGCACCTGTGGGCACAGGTATTACAAGGTCATGCAAAGGGAGTAGACGGTGTAATTTGCTAATTGGACTTGATACACAGCCTGCCACTGGCTGCGCCATCGCCTCAGGAGTTGAATCGGGTCTCTTCGACTTCATGGCCCGAAATCCAGGGCCGAAGACCGTAGCCCAACTCGCCGCAGAACTAGACTTCGAGAAAGATTTACTAGCGCGTTCGATGAGGCATCTGGCGTCGACCGGATATCTACGCGAGACCGGTGTTGACGAGTACGAGACGAACCACTTTTCGAGATCACTGACCCTTCCTATTATTGGCAGCGCCTACTCTTGCGTGTAAGTCTTCATGATCCAGCCGGCATGAGAGATCTGGAAAACTAATGGCCTCTTCCAGAGTCGGCGGCGTCTGGCCTACCTTTTGCAACTTCCCCACGTATCTCAAGAAGAATAAGCGGAGAATGACGCCAGAGATAGGACCTCTACAAGATGCCATTGGCAGTAAGAAGGATTTTTTCACACATATCATGGAAAAGTACCCCGCCGGCGAGTTTCAGCAGTTCATGAAAGGATACGGCCAGGGGAGGAGACTCTGGATGGACCCGGATTTCTACCCCGTAGTCGAGCGCCTCGTCAACGGCGCAGATACCACTTCACCAGACTCGGCGTTCATTGTCGACATTGGAGGCGGCATCGGCCACGACTTAGACGAGTTCTGTCGCAAGCAACCTGCCGCGCCGGGCCGGCATGTCCTCCAAGACCTCCCTCACGTTCTCTCACAGGCGCAAGTCCAAGATCTCGACCCCAAGATTGAGCTTATGCCGTATGACTTTAATACCGAGCAACCAGTCAAGGGCGCGAGGGCGTATTATCTCCACTCTGTACTACACGACTGGACAGACGAGGTCTGCGAGAGTATTCTTGCGCGGGTCAGGGCTGCGATGAGGGCAGGGTATAGCAGGCTCTTGATCAACGAGAACGTTATACCTTCCAAAGGCGCAGATTGGCAGGTCACGGCGCTCGACATGGTTATGATGACTGTGTTTGCGTCGAGAGAGAGGACAGAGGAGGAGTGGTATCAGTTGCTGGAGGGAGCTGCTGGGTTGAGGATCGTCAAGATCTGGTCTAGAGGGGAGGGGTCTGAGTCGCTTATTGAGTGTGAGTTGGCATGAAGACGGAGCAGGATCAGGGGAGATGGCTGTTCGACATGAAAAGCTGGATTAAGGAACTTCTGAGCCTTGAAAGACATCTAACAGAACGGCTGAATTGAGATCCTCAAATCACTTGAACCTCAGAACAGAGCGTTTTCATTCGCTCAAGCCAGCTCACTATGTAATCAAGCAGCCTTATGAAGAACGCTGTCGATCTATTTGAGAGAGCTTTCAGACATTCAAAGGCGGTCCAAGAGCGGGAGATACTAGATGTGATCAGTCGTAAACTGAGCAGACCTGCTCGTCCGACCCAAAACATTTGTGTCATCGAGCGAGCTCCCAGTCGGGATCATACTCCATGATTCCTACTGAATACAAGACTAGGGCTTCTCATACAAGTCTAATCTAACGGTTTTGATACCGCTTCGCCTATCGTGCCTCGCCCCTCTTCTCTTGCCTATTTCCCTTACCTCTTGTACCTTACCTCTCGTGCCGTATTCGTCATCTGTATTTGTGAATACGAAACGGGTGCCGACCACCGAGGTGACAGAGACTGCCAGATCGAGCAACAAGCCGCCCGGACCTTCGGCTTCGTGTCCTTACCACCAGCCATGACGGTATGGACTGCCCTCCAAGGACTAGCCAACGAGCACGAATAGAGCGCAGTCAGAGTCTATATCGAGGGACTCTATCGCGCTATTGCGAAGCATTTTCCAATCCATATGGCACGGTGATCATCTGAGAACTTACCAAGCTGAAGAACAACTTAGAGGGTCTCGAGGTGGAGGGCAAACCTAGCGACAGTGGTGCAAGCGAAGGATAGGAAGACGTTGAGATGAAACACGTCGAGTCGGCATAGGATCGACAATGAAAAGGGGCATTACCCATCTGTCAATGAACCACGACAATTCACCTGGGCGACTGCACCCTTATCAATTTACCAGCCAATATCTCTTCTGTCTTCCCGGCAGGGAGGTATTACTTGGCCCCCCCCCACCAATATACTACCAATTTAAAACCACAACAAGAACATCACCACATCGTCACAATAACCCATAAAAGCAAAAGAATAACTCCTCGACGGGGAATTGAACCCCGGTCCCCTGCGAATCGTTGTGTGGAAGTAGTTCCTCAATGACAAGCAGATATCCTCACCACTAGACTATCGGGGAAGTGTGGATGTTGACATCCAGTGATAGTTGGTTGACGATGGAGACCCGCTGAGGGTATATAAACCCACAGATGGATCTTTCATAATTAGATGGGTGGGCAGATTAGTGTGTCGGCTAACACAAACCTGCCCCTCTTTCTATAACGGCACCTTTGGTGTCCTGACCACAAGCATTCAGATCAACCTAGGTTATCCGTAGGAGTCAATGATTTCAAGGGACGGGGCCGAGCAGCTAAGCCTTTCTTCTCAAACACAATGAGGAAAAGAAACGTAAACTTGGGGCAATCCTTTATGGGCTATTCATGATTCATGCTAGTCTTACATACAACTTCTCCTCTCTCTTCAACACCCTTACTGAAGCGACTCTCATCTCAAGCCACGCCCAAATCTGCTGCCCCAATCTCTCCTTTCGACAGCAGGAAAGAAGAAAGAGCAGTATTAACATCAACAGTAATAGTTTTTCCGCAGTCTCCTAGGTAGTGCTGGTCACCCCTGAAACCATTCCACCACCCTATACCTCCCCCCCCAGAAACGCCAGGCCAACGGGGAAAACCCCCCAAAACAAGCAAACAGTAACTTCCATCAAGCATTCGATGCTTCCACTTCCTCATCCTCGACTTCAAATGCCACCGCGGAATACATCAGACTGGATCTTAACCCTCTTCCCCACAGCCTCACCTGAACCAAGTCCATCCGAAGAGCGCTTCACGCCCCGGGTGATAACCCCATTCGTCGCCCTCCTGGGTGACTCAACACCCGCGCTCGCCATCTTGGAAAGGGAAGACGGCCCATTCGGCATCTTGCCCTGAAAAGACTCCGAATTCATCATCTTCCGAGCAGCAACAGCTTCAACCCTGACGGCACCAAGATGCCTCGTATGAAACACCGCCCTCCTCTCCCTCCCGTGACCGCACACCCTCACATTACCACCGCAAAAGCTGCACTCGTGCCTGCCCATCGCCGACTCGAAGCGGCCATCAGGCGCGGGATAGAAGCCGGGGATCGCAATCAGCTCCTTCTAAGAGTGCTTGCCCTGCGGCACAATCGCCTTGTCGATCTGCAGGTTACCCCTTGCCATCTTGTCCTTCTCGTCGCCGAAGCGCGACTCGAACTCCCGCTGCTGGTCCTGGTGCCTCTCGAGGGATTCGCGGCACTCCGGCGGCAAGAGGGCCTTGAGGTCGTCGCCGATGGCCAGGATGCCGTTGAAGGGTTTCAGGAAGTCGGGGACCTCGGCGGGTCGCTTTCCGGCGGATTGGACGCCCGCGCGCGGTATTTCGTAGACAATATCCACCACGTTGAAGTTGCGCTGCACAGCTGAGGGTACTGAGGGGAATGCGCTGTTCGAATCGCTTGTGTCGCCGGGAGTGACCCTCTCGACGCGGGCGCGGATGGGTTGCGTGTTAACTGGCTTCTGCATCAGGTTGGTGTGAATGTCGTATGCGCCGTTCCGCAGTGTTGCCATCCGGATGGCATTGAGACGACTGTTGAACTCGCTAAGCTTTGTTAGTATGTGGCACAGTAATGATTGATGTATATAGACCCACCTAGCAGCACGAGCGTGCTCCAGTTGCCAGTTCGTATCATTCACGTTAACCCTCTTCTTCTTTACCTCTGTCAAACCAGCAAGAGGATCCGAAGCAGCCGGTGTTTGGTTGGTATGGTACACGGCACTGGCACCGAACCACGCGACATACTGATTTGTGTTGTACGGCTCGTTGGGGTTGAAGACGTCTGACGGGTCCGCAATGTGTCCCTCGATGATGCCAGAGGCGCGCATGTCAGCCACGCGGTAGTCGTCCACGATATTCCGACCTCCCACAATGATCCTCGCGCCGAACTCGACAAAGACGGATCGCGCCGTGACGATACCTATCGCACGGCCCTTGTATGAGTGGGGAATGATATTCCGCTCAATCATGTCCATCTTCTCGTCGTCGCTCACGATAATCTTGTACAGCTTCGGGTGCTTGTTGAAGAACAAGTAACTGTCGCGGAACCCGACGCAACGGGCGGGCTCCGTCGACAACATGTACTGCCTCTCGCCGCGATCCTTGACCGTGAACGTTCTGCAGCGGTACTGGCGGCCGCCCTGGAGATTACCGAGCTTGTCGACCTTTGTCTCGCCTTCCGCGTCCTCGGGAAGCACGCACTCGTCGTCGACAATGTCGACTTCTGTGCCCTCCTTGTCAATCACCTGCTTGAGCTTGGGAGGTGCTTGTCCAGGCGCAGGCCGGCGTCCGCCGCGGCCGCGCCAGCCTCCACGACCTCTACGTCGCGGAGTGTCGGCTTCGGATGCGGGTACCGTGATCATGTTGTCCCAGCCCGGTGGCTTGTTCTTCGGAGGCCGTCCTAGTCGCTTGCGACGCACCACAGGCTCGGCCGGGGGAGTGGGTTCTTTGGCTGAAGGTTCAGATTCCTCTCCCTCGTCGTTTGCTTGCTCTTCCTCTTCCTCCTCTCCGTCTTCGTCGGCGGCTTCCTCTTCATCGCCTGACTCGTTTGCCTTCTCTTCTTCTTCTTCCTCCTCATCCTCTTCGTCTTCTTCGGGTGGCGCCTCATGCTCGGGCTCGGACTCGACAGCTTCGGGGACGGGCTCGTCATCGTCGATGCCTTCAAAGGCTCTGGGCGTGCTTTCTATTTTCGCCAATCAGTCAGCAAGCAGCTTTTACTTGTGATTTCTGACAATTTCCATGGCTGTCACAGCGACTTGTTCGAGGGGTAGCTGTTGGGAATGGAGGGGTACGGGAAGCGAGGAGGAAACCATTGAGGCGCCATGCGCTCGCATCCCACAAGTAAACGAGCCGTGGGAGAAGCTTCGAGCAGATGTTCCGTCTCCGTCATGTTGCAAGCCATTCACGGAATCAAATTACGGGCTATGCAGCTCCCACGTCGCGACTAAAGGTGAATAGTCGGGGAAAGCTTGAACTTACGTAGCGCAGCAGAGGCGCGCTTGGCGGCAGCCCTGCCGGACCGAGAACGACGTCCGGACATTGTGAGGCGCGCGTGTCGAGGGCGCAAGGCGGATGGTGAAGTTGAGATGGAGATTTGTGGGCGCAATTCGCAAGTTCGGTGCAGTGCAAGGCTGAACGATGGTCAATCGGCGCTGGTAGATGGAGTCGCGTCGCGAAGCAAGGCTCAGCTTTCCCTGTGGTCGGAAAAAGTCATTGGGGACTGAGCTGGCATCTGATTGGTCGTTTGGTCAGTGCAAATTATTCATCGCACGGCTTTTAAACACTGTATACACGCCCATCTACGAATTGCTTCATCAGGAAGAACCTTGTTAAGCTGTACCTCTACGGCCTCACTGTTGTTTCTCGTCTCATTACTATTTCTGGTCAAGCATATCAGGCTCACTGGAATATCAGCGCAACCTCATGACTGAAAGCATGTTGTGATTCGTGCTGTCTATGCTATGAATCCTCTTGGTAAGAAAGAAACCAAGCAGCAATCTGGGAATGTCCGCAATGATTATGCAATTAAGCCACCCCAGTCCTAATAATTCCAGAGTCTTCATCCCAAACCTCACCACGCAAGCGAGCAAAAAAGCAAATCTGTCTCGTCGGCAATCGGACCCTCCAGCTCTAATCTTCCAAGAGCTTCGAGGTTGCACCATTCCAGGTGACTAGAACCGATCGACGGACTGAGACGGCGGGCACAGGGAAACCACCCCTAAACGCCCATGGATATTTTTGTGTTTCGCAGTCGCTGCCAACGACCAAAATAATGCAGCCGGCTGCACGAGGCTTCCAGAAGTTCGTCTTGACGTGATGTCCTACTCCTATTTGATAGTCAAAAGTTTCGCGTCTTCTCCGAAATCTTCCGCCTCGACTTTGATGGAGGCCATTTCCTCTGC